CTGTTAGTTTGTAGTAATAGGAGCGGCGGGGCTGCGTCCCCAGCACCCTGGCCGCCTGGCTAGCTTATGCTACGAAATAACAACACACAAACTGTATTCATTTAAACACTGCTTGGCCCGTTTCTATCTAGCCTCTTCTAGGCTAATTCTTACATATTAATTTAGCCCATTTCTTATCATCTGTGTAGCACCGGTCTTACCGGGAAGATTCTAGCCTAGGTCCATCCTGGGTCAGAGCTTCATCGCGTGCGTCAGCCTGGGAGAGAGGAGCACGGCGTCTCTGCTCCAGAGAGCAGAGCTGTCGAGTCTGAGCTCACTTCCTCTTCCTCCCAGCATTCTATTCTGTTTACTCCTCCCACCTATGTTTTAACCTGTGAGAGCCAAGCAGTTTCTTTATTGCTTAACCAATGAAATCAACAGATTGATATATGACACTCCCACATCATTAGTTCTCTTATTTCTCTGTTAAGTTTTGTCTGATTGACCTGTCCAGTGGTGAGAGTAGAGTGTTGAAGTCTCCCAGTATTAGTGTATTGGGTTTAATGTATGATTTAAGCTTTAGAAGTGTTTCTTTTACATATGAAGGTGCCCTTGTATTTGGGGCATAGATGTTCAGTATTGAAGTTTCCTTTTGATGGATTTTTCCTGTGACTAATATGAAATGACCTTCTTTGTCTCTTTTGACTGATTTTTAGCTTGATGTCTATTTTGTTAGATATTAGGATAGCTATACCCACTTATTTCTTAGGTCCATTTCATTGGTATATTTTTCCCAACCCTTTACTCTGAGACGATGTCTGTCTTGGAGCTTGAGATGTGTTTCTTGTATGCAGAAGAAGGATGGATTCTGTTTTCGTATCCAGTCTGTTAGCCTGTGCCTTTTTATAGGTGAGTTGAGTCCATTTACATTAAGGGATATTAATGACCAGTGATTGCTATCTCCTGTTAATTTAGTTTTTATCATTGGTGATGTTAATTTGTGCATTTTTTTCTTTGAGATTTGCTGTTATGAGATCATCAATTCTCTGTGTTTTTGTTGGTGTAGCCATCTTCCTTGGGTTGGAGCTTTCCTTCTAGTATTTTGTGTAGGGCTGGGTTTGTGGCTAGGTATTGGTGAAATCTAGATTTGTCCTCCTATGGTGATTGACAGTTTTGCTGAGCATAGTAGTCTGGGCTGGCATCTGTGGTCTCTAAATGTCTGCATAATGCTTGACCATGACCTTCTGGCTTTCATTGTGTCCAAGGAGAAGTCAGGTGTAATTCTGATAGGTCTACCTTTATATGTTACTTGACCTTTTTCATTTGCAGCTTTTAATATTCTTTCTTTACTCTGTATATTTAGGTTTTTTTTTTATTATGTGACGAGAGGACTTTTTTTTGGATCCAGTCTATTTGGTATTCTGTAAGCTTCTTGTATCTTCATAGGCATATCTTTCTTTGGGTAGGGAAAGTTTTCTTCTATGATTTTGTTAAATAAATTTTCTGTGCCTTTGAGTTGAACTACTTCTCCTTCTTCTATACATATTATTCTAAGATTTGGCCTTATGGTGTTCCATATTTCCTGCATATTTTGGGTTAAGCTTTTGTTAGATTTAATGTTTTCTTTAACTGATGAGTCTATTTTCTCTATTGTATCTTCAGTGCTTGAGATTCTCTCTTCCATCTCTTGTATTCTGCTGTTCATGCTTGCGTTTGTGATTCCTGATCTTTTTCTCATGATTTCTGTTTCTATAATTTCTTCGGTTTGTGTTTTCTTTATTGTTTCTATTTCAGTTTTCAAGTCCTGGATAGTTTCTTTTATATGTTTGATTTCTTTTTCTTGGTTTTCTTTAAGTTATTTACTGATATCTTCCAATTCTTTGTCTTTTCCTCCATTTCTTTAAGGGAATTTCTCACTTCATCTTTAAGAATTTCTAACATTTACTTGAAGTTATTTTTTTGTTCATTTTCTTCTTTTTCATCCATATTTGGTTGTTCAGGTCTTGCTGTTGTAGGGTCTTTAGGTTTTACTGGTGTTGTTTTGCTCTTTGTGGTGTAGTGTATGATCTTACCTTTTCTACTCATCTTTTCCTCTAGTAGGTGTGGTTGGGGCTGTCTGAGATTCTCTTGAATAATCTTCTAGGCGCCAGTGAATCCAAAGCTCAGATGGTTGTTCCTCGTGGTACAGTTAGTGTCACAGTTCTAACCGCTAGGTTACTCGGTGTTCCTGGAGATAGCTCAGCGCTCTGGTCCTTGCTCTGCTCACTTGCAGTTTGCTCTCTCAGGCCTACTTTGGCCTAGGTTGCCGGCTTTGCCCTGTTTCTGTACATTCTGGTCTGGATCCCCTCCTGCAGAAGTCCCTGGCTTGTAGTTGAACATGTTCTGGCGGAGATCGCTGACTCTGGATTTGGTTACTAGTTCAACCTTGATCCGCCAGTGTCCCAGGACTGGGTTGGCTCCCAGGACTTGATTTGCTCCTGGCTTCTGCTTCCGGTGGAGCTATTTGTGAAGCTATTTGCTCTCTGTCCTAGGTTCTGCCCCACTCCTATTCTGGTGGAGATAGCTGATTTGCTCCTGGCTTCTGCTCCCGGTGGAGCTTGTTTCTCAGGCTCTCAGTCCTAGGTGGCTCTTAACTTTAACCTTGACCTCAGTCTGAAATAGGATCCTGCATCCTGGAATCTCAGAAGGAGACTCCAGGTTTATTTATTTTATATAATATACGAATAATTTGCCTGCTCATCTGTCTGTGTATGTCTAATTCTTGTGGATACTAGAAGAGGGTATTTTTAGCTCCTGGAGCTGGAGTTATAGATGGTATACACTGCCATGTGTGTACTAGGAATTGAACTTGGGTTCTCTGAAACTGCACCACATATCCTTAATGCTGAACTGTGTCTTTGGGAGGGAGGAAGATTTTAAATGTGCAAAGACCTCTTATATTTTATCTAGTTTGTCCTTGTTTTTTCCTCTGCTATGTAAACTTTGTTAATTGACTATCAAACATTTTATCAGAGTTTTTGCTTGCTATTGTGTTTTTAAATATAAATATAGAGGGGCTGAAGAGGTAGCTCAGTAGGTCTGAGCATGTAATACCCTTGCAGAGGACCAGAGTTCAGTTCCTAGTGCCCACACCAGATGACTCATAATCACCTGTCACCCCAGTACCAAGGAATTCAGTGCCCTCTTCTGACCTCCATAGACAATTGCACTCATATGCACATACTCCCCCTTGTCCTCCTCTGCAGATATATAGGTATACACATTATTTAAGGTAAAAATAAATCTTAAAGTAAACAAGAACAACAAAATCAGCTTAATTTGGATAGACCCATCTCCCCTGCTTAGTCAGGATCGAGCTATATAGCTCCAAGACTGGCCTCAACTTTATAATCTTCCCATTTTAAACTCCACTGGAAGTTCAGGAGTGCGTCATTCTGCCTGGCTTCAGTACTTGTTTATTAGGCTTACCCCACTGTGCAGCTTCCAGGCTTTGTTCATAGCCAGCCATCTGGGAAGGAAATGGAGGGACAATATCTCAGCTCCTAATATGTTGGGAAGTCTTGGATTGAGTCACATGTGCTTTAGAGTTTTTGTTTTGTTATTCTCATTTTTTTGTTTCTCTTGGGACATTGTATTTTTAAGATTGGAAAATTTAGAGGTAACTATAATGTATTTCCTTCTCGGTTCATAGTTCTTAAGTTTATTCAAAAGGAAAATGTTTTCCTTGATCATATTTGTCTAAATTTTTTTTTTTTTGGTTTTTCGAGACAGGGTTTCTCTGTGGTTTTTTTGTTGTTGTTGTTTTTAATTTAATTAATTAATTAATTTATTTATTAAGGATTTCTGCCTCCTCCCCGCAACCGCTTCCCATTTCCCTCCTCCTCCCCCGATCAAGTCCCCCTCCCTCATTTGGAGCCTGTCCTGGAACTAGCTCTTGTAGACCAGGCTGGTCTCGAACTCACAGAGATCCACCTGCCTCTGCCTCCCAAAATTTTTTTATTTTCATATTCACAAAATAGATGTATTCTATGACTTTCTCAGGTAACAGGTAGTTTTTATAATGGAGACTATACAGAATAGCTGTGCAGAGCATGGGCAGCAGTTGCAGTTCATTAAACTTTGAATGTAATTCTGTGTTTTGAATTTCCATATATGGTTCTTTCATTTCAACTTCATAATCTAACTTTCTTTTGTGCATATAATTGTATATTTTGTTTGTATTCTGTACTGACAAATTCTTGAGAGCAGTTTGTGTTTCAAGTTTTATAATCCTCAAATGCTCACTAACAAAGTCTGTTGTTAGGTTATTTATTTACTGAATTATTATAAATTACTATTATAATAATTCTTTAGCTGTTAGGGAAGATAATAGAAAAGCTGGAGCCAGGAATTAAAAATAGATCTTATTTTAGAGATTTATTTATTTCCGTATTGTGTATGTATATGGGTGTTTTTGTCTGCATGTACATCTACATACCAGAAGAGGGCATCCTATCCCACAGGACTACAGTGATAGGTGGTTGTGAGGCACCATGTAGTTGCTGGGAATTGAAGGACCTCTAGAAGAGCAGCCAGTGCTCTTAATTGCTGAGCACTCTCCATCTCCATCCCCAAAATAGAGCACTAGATTTTGAGTCAGTCAGTCAGTTTCTGTCTGTCTATCTTCACCGGGTCCCACTCTGCTTCTTAGGCTAGCCTTGATGTCTTGATCCTCCTGCTTCAGCCTTCAGGGTAGCTGAGATTACAGCTGTGCAGCACTGCACCCAGTTACATCGATTGTTTTTAAAACACAAAGACTATGATAACTTTACCCATATGTAAAACTTAAATATGTAAGGGCAAAAATTGCAAAAATAAAGAAGCAGTTATATACACATTTGTTTCGTATATTTGAAAATGATAGAATTTCAGGTGCAGATCTTTGACATTGAAGGAAATTTGGCACTGTGCATGTTTGCTAATGACCATTTAACCTTGGTGGAATAGTTGTTAAGGACTATTTTGTTGTTGTTGTTTTTCAGAGAATGCAGAATCTATTGACCTTAAACAGTTTTTTGACCAACATTTTTCACATATATACTATGTGTTTTTTGAAAATTTTGTGACTATTGAAGCTAGTCTTAAACAAAAAGGTAAGATATTAACATATATTATGACTTGTATGTTTATGTTTCTAATAATCATAAGCATTAACTTAAAAAGAAGATCTAGGCATTAGAATTTTAGTAAAGTTTTATTTTGATACCTTTCTTATACTATCAGAATTTACTTTTGAAAGGAAACCAATATACTTGTATGACTATCCTTGTTGCTTTGTGAAGGCTTAGAATATTTGCATTTTTCTGGTCAGGCTTCCTCAACCTACCTTCTTTGTTTTGCCCTAGGAATGTTTGAATAGGAAAAGTGTTTTTCATGTTCAAATCTCATTTAGAACCCACAATATATGATTTGTTATTAGATGTTAGTATAACCTAAATCTTTGTGTTTATCCTGGGTATTGAATCGAGGACCTTGTACATGTTAAGTGTAGTCTTCCCAACCCCCAGACCTAGAACTCATATTTAGAGTAATTATGCTAAAGAATAGAGAGAGGGGCCGTAATACTGTCTGTATAATAAATAGACTATGCTTTAGCATTTCCCTAAAGAATTTCTGAAGAAAAGCCCAGGGATTGAAATATTTAAGTTCATTAAGTATTGTTAACAGTTCAAGTATTTTTCTGTTAAAAATGTTTCAGGTCACAAGTCTCAAAGAGAGGAATTGGATGCTATACTTTTTATTTTTGAGGTAAGTACTGTAATCATACCTTTTAAACTTTCCCAAAAATAATTCTGGGAGGCTGGAGAGATGGCTCAGAGGTTAAGAACAATGATGTTCCTCAGAGGTCCTTAGTTCAATTCCCAGCAACCACATGATGGCTCACAACCCTCTATAATGAGATTTGGTGCCCTCTCCTGGCCTGCAGGGATACGTGCAAGGAGAATTCTGTTAACATAATAAATAAATCTTACAAAAAAATAATTCTGGGAACATATGAAGAAATATATTAAAATTATCAGATACATAATGAAACACAGTTAATCTGCCAGATTTTTTGCAGAACTTAATTTATAACTTAAAAATGTATCTGACTAAGTTTGTGTATGATTGAAGCATAATGTATTTCTAGGGACAAAATTATATATGCTTTTGATGACACAAAATTAATAGCATATTTGCAAAATGAAAATTTTAATTTTTATAAAGTTTACACAATTATTTTAACCTCTAGAATCTTTGCGTAGGTGATTTATCATTTATTTATTTTGCTTTTTTTTTCCTCAAGACAAAGTCTCTGTAGGTGGAGTTTCTCTATGTCCTGGCAACTGCCCCACAAATAACCAGAGCCTTAGTATTAATTATAAATGTAAGGCTGATAACTAGCTCTTATAACTTAAACTAACTCATTTCTATTAATCTCTGTGCTGCCTGAGGCTCATTTACTTCATCTATGAACTTCCCATATTGCTTCTTCCATGTCTGGTTTGCAACTCCTCAGACTCTGCCCTTTTTCTTCCCAGCGTTCTCTATATCCTGAAAATCCTGCCTAGCTATCGGCCAATCAGCTTTTTTATTAACAATGAGAGCAACACATTTTCACAGTGTACAGGATTATTTCACAGCTGGTCTCACTATGTAGCCCTGACTGATCCAAAACTTGCTATGCAGACCAGGCTGGCTTTGAACTCACACAAATCTGCCTGCCTCTGCCTCCTAAGTTCTGAGACTGAAGGTATGTGTACCATGCCAGGCTTTATCATTTAGTTTTGATACAGGGTCTTATAGTGTTGTATGATACTATTCCTGTGGGTGTGAACAAACATTTACGCACTCCAGATAGAGAACTGATGGAAGATCAAAGCAATACGCACTAAAGTCTAACTTTATGGACCAATGAATTTATTGGGTTTACAGGAATATGCATGACTGACTCAGAGACAGCTGAAAGCCCACCACAGCATGGGTGATGACTCCAGAAAGTTGGAACCCTTGAGCTTTGTGCACCACATGGGAGATCTCTCCTTAGCAGTCCTTACTGTTGGTTTAGGAGATCTCTCCTTAGCAGTCCTTACTGTTGGTTTAGCCTTAGGGTTGGGGAGGAGGGTGTATGTAGTAAGTTTCAGGGACTTTCTGAGACTTGTGAGTTATTTATTTCCTGTGCCTTAAAGAAATCACTTTAGAACTTCCTGAATCTTAATCCCCTCCAGGATGGACTGTTTGAATTGGAAAGAAATTGCTATACAACACACATAGCTCAGGCTGGCCTTGAACTTCTGGTCTTTTGTCCACATGTGTTTGGATTAAAGGCATATACCACCACACCTAGCTCATTATTTCTACTCTAATGGCTTTTCATTATAAATTTGAACAAAATAGCCTTGTTTTGTAAATTGTTGTTTTATATCACTTTGAATTGGATTGGGAAAATATTTATAAATAAACAGAAAGCATTGCTTGGAGGTAGATAAGCTCTGCTAAAATTTGTTTCTATTTTTAGCACATTCAGAAATTATGCCCCTCTCATCCCTATTTTAAAATAACTGTTATCAGAGGAAATAGTCGTAGAAATATTCTTGTCTTTACTGAGACTGTAGAGACCGATAGAAAGCCAAGACTAGAGCTGATGACTTCAGAGATCAGAGAGAGAGAGCATAAAAGCCCATTTCTCATAGTTGAGATGCTTGTGCATCTGCAGTCCCGCTACTCAGGGGGGACAGATAGTGAGGCAGGAAGAATGCACGAACTGGGAATTCATGAGCACGTCAGTCACCTATGTCGAATAGGGTCTTCTAAGAATGAATGTATCTGGACATGGTGGTGCATGCCTACACTCTAACTATTGTGAGGCTAAGGCAGGAGACTTACAAGTTTTTAGGCCAGCTTGGGCTACATGGTGAGCTCCTGACTCAGAAAAAAGAAAAACAAAACAAGGTACTAGAAAACAGTAACTAATACTCTGAAATTAATTTTCACTGGTCTCGAATTCTTTGAAACCTGATTTTATTTGGTAGGTAAACTACCTTAAGTCGCTACATGAGGAGCTTGTAAGTGGAATAGTGAGCACAAATGTTTGGGGAAGATTAAAAGTGTCCTGGAGAATGCTTGGACATTCTTAAATTCTTAAATTTAGGGTGGGTCTTCCAGATTCAAGTAAATCTCTCATAGGACTGCCCAGATGCTTGTATCTTAGTTCATCCCAGATCCAGTTAAGTTGACAACCAAGATTAGCCATCAAAAGGACAACATACTTACTTTTTATCACTGTTAAAGATAATTTTTATTCATTTTTCTCTTCCAGAATTTCTTTAATATTGCTTATTACTTTTTGCGTAGGAAAGTTCAGTTATTTTACTAGTTTGTATTTGCTGTACTTTAACATAAGAAGCTCTTCATTTGGCCTTCATATTTCATACTTCACAATATATTGACTCATTATTTGATTTCATTCTTTATTTTGCTTATATTGATTTTTAGAAAATTTTACAACTTCTTCCAGAAAGAATTCATCAGCGATGGCAATTTCATAGTATTGGTAAGTAATATAAATATATATTTCACATCTGAAATAAATTATACAATAGCTTATCAGTTATTTTTTTAATGAGTTCATGTTTGTTTTACTGAAAACAGACTATAAGAGGCCAGCGACATGGCTCAGTAGGTAAAGTGCTTGCTGGCCAGCACCCAGGTCTAAAGAGCCAAGGGTGGCAACCAAGGGTGGCCACATTCATACCAGTAACCCCAGTGCCATGGTAGAGACAGACACTGAGCCTCTCTGACCTACCAGTCTAGCTAAAACCACAGATTCCAGGTTCAGTAAGCGACCCTGTCTTAAAACATAAGGTGGAAAGCACCAGTATTAAATCTCTGGCCTCCACTTTCCACACACATATGCATATATGTACATACATGAATTTAGGGGTGAGCTAGGTGTAGTGCCACAGGTTTCTAATCCCAACTACTTGGGATGCCAAAGCCCAAGGATCACAAATTTAGGGCCTGCCTGGGCAAGCAAGACCCCATCTAAAAATGAAAGAGTGAAGAATGAGCTGGGTATATAATCAGTGGTGGAGTGCTTGCCTAGAATATGTAAGCTTCTAGATTTCATCCTCAGTACTATAGAGAAGAAAATACACAGGCAGACTGGGGATCTAAGACTAAAATTTAAATGAAGGGCCAATTGGGTCAGTGGTAGATCTCATGGTTTGCATGTGAGGCCCTGGTTCAGTTTCCTGTAAATACACACAAAGGAGGGGAAAAAGATGAGTTGAGGAACAGGAGAGAGGAGAATGTGTGTGTGTGTGCGTGTGTGTATACACACATATATTGACTTGGTACACAATACTGTGTTTTTTATCTACCTCTTTACTCTGAATGCATTAGCAATGATGATGAATTATTTTTAAAAATAGAAGCAGGCTTCAACTCAAGATAAATATCTTTGTGAATCAGAAATAGGAGAGAAATGCAATGCAAAAAAAGGGAGAATCTATGAAGCTATGGCTTCTGGCTTGTTTTCTGTGGTGGGGTCTCTCACATTATAGTCCAGATTGTCCTAGAGCTTGTCATGTAGCATGAGCTGCTCCTTAGCTGTGCACAACTGCTCAGCAGTCCTCCTGCTTCAGCCTTTGATTACTGAAGTAATTTTGGGATAAATTCTCACTATGTAGTCCAGACAAGCCTTGAATCCATGATCCTCTTGCCTCTGCCTCCCATGTGTTGGGATTATAGGCATATGCCCCATGTATGATAGCCCCAAATTTGAAAACAAAGCAGGGGGACTGGAGTTAAGCTTACTGTTACTTGAATGATCAAAATATGGCTGTCTAGTTCATGAAACAAAAGCTGAAAAGAAGAAAGAAAGAATATGTTGTAGATTACTGTGGAGTCCAAGTAGGAGAAAACAGACTTTCTGTTTTTCAAGAAACAAGCTAAAACAATGAAGTCAGGTTTTGCTACATTCAAATTATAACCACAGGGATTTTGAGCTGTTATTATAAGACTTATTTCCAACCCCCTTGGTTAAAAAAGGGATCAGCAAGTAAGTGGTCAGTGCTTCTTCAGTGTTCGCACTGTCTGCTTTGGTTGCTGGAGATTTTCATGCCTTTTGTCATAGGGAGTAAATGGCCCTATGTCTACATTGTTGAGCCAGAACGCAACTGATTAGAAATTTGTGTATGCTTGTATTTGAAAAGAGAGTCACAGTGTCTAGAGAGATGGCTCGGTGGCTAAGTGTGCTTGCTGCTCTTACAGAAGGCCTGAATTCAGTTTCCCAGTGTCCACCTCAGATAGTTTACAGCTGTGCCTCCAGCTCCAGGGAATCTGTCACCCTTTTCTGGCCTCCTGGGGCACCTGCACTCACATGCACACATTCCCATTTAGACACAAACATATACACATAACTAAAAATAAAAATGAAGTTTTAAAAATCTTGTGTATATGTGTATGTGCTTTCTTGTCTCTATATGCACCACATGCATGCAAGTGCCATGGAGGCTGGAAGAAGGCAGCAGATCTATAGAACTATAGCTAAAGATGGTAATGAGCAACCCACCTGAAGGGGGCTCAGAGAACTGAAGAGAGGAATGAGTGTTCTTAACCACTGAGTCATCGTCCAATTCCCAAAATAAAATTTGAAAAGAAAGGAAAATCAGAGGTTTATTTAGGCCTCAATTTCTTGGTTAGTTGTGCAAATAGAAGCTTTTTCAAATTATCCCAGGAAAATAAAGGAATATTAGACAGAGATGGGGGAATATTGATATAATGAATAAAACATCAAAATCTTAAATAAAATGAACTTTAAGGATTGACTTGGGGCTTTAACTCAACAGTAGGATGTATGCCTAGCATACAAGTAGCCATGGGTTAGAGCTCAGAACTGCCCCCCAAATTAAAATTTTTTTTGCATTACAGCATACAATATTCGAAAGACAAGCTTTAAAAGGTGTCCAAATATTTTAATATACATTACACAAAAGATATTACCAGTGAGCACATAACAAAGTGCTCAAAAGAATAGTGAACTTTTATTTGAACTTCCTTATCATGAAACTGTTCTTGAAGATTGTCTTTGATGATTGTCTTTGTAAAACTTTTTTTGAGACATCTGAACTTTTAATGTATTTCTTTATCCATTTCTATATAATGTTGAACTTTTAATGTTGTATTTATTTATTTATTGGTCTTTTTTTTAGAGGCAGGGTTTCTCTGTGTATTCTTGGCTGTCCTGGAACTAGCTTTATAGACCAGGCTGGTCTTGAACTCAAGAAATTCTCCTGCCTCTGCCTTCTGAGTGCTGAGATTAAAGGTGATCCACCCCTGCCCAGCTTAGATGTGTTATATTTCTTGAGGACTGCGGCCTTTAATCACCAAAAGATCTTTATGTTACCTAGTTGTCATAATTGTATTCCAAAAATGTGTATAACTTGTGAAAATTCATAAATGGTGATTTTCTTTGTCATTCAGATGATTTCTACAAGCTGTTGGCTTTATGAGTTATTAATGAAAGAAAATATAACTGTAGTTGATTTAAAAAAATCACTTCATTAAGATACACAATTTGCATAGATAAAATTTATTCTTTGAAGTGAAATTCAATATTTTTAGAAAATAGTCCTCATAGTCCAGTTTTATATGTCTATCCTCCTCACATAGTTTTTGAAGCCATTTGTCAAAATTCTAGCCTCAACTATGTTATAAACTCCAGGCCAGCCTTGCCAAAATCCAAAATTAAAAAAAAATAAAACACCTCACAAGGTTTTTTGTTGTTGTTGTTATTTTTGTTTGTTTGTCTATTGTTTTGTTTTGTTGTTTTTTCTGAGACAAGGTTTCTCTGTATAACAGTCCTAGCTGTCTTGGAACTCTGTCAACCAGGCTGGCCTTGAACTTACAGAGATCCTTCTGCCTCTGCCTGCTTCCCGAGTGCTGGGAATAAAAGCAAACACCAATGCCTGGCACCTCATAAGTTTTTGAAAGAAGTATTTGGTTTATCTTTGTAGTACCAAAGTCAAGGATTTCTTTATAAAAAGAAAATACACCTAAAATATAAGTGTCAGTCATAGGGAAATTTATACACACATAAACACAAACATGCAGACACTTGCTTTTTGCTGTTTTAGATACAGTCTCACAAAGCCTAGGCTGCCTTCTTACTTGATCTGCAGCTGAGACTGGTCTTGAACTCCTAATTCTTCTATTTCTACCTACCTAGTGTTGGGACTAAAGCCATGAACCACCGCACCTGGTCTAAACTTTAAGACATTTGCTGTATGTGAAAGAATACTCCTCCCCCAACAAAAACATAACTTACTGGTCTGAGAAAAGATAGCTCCAGTTTATAGAGCTGGCAGAAAATTAGTAGGACACACACACACAAACACACACACACACACACACACACACATAGAACTGTTAATATTAAACAAAAGCAAAAACTTGAGGGCTGGAGAGATGAACCAGTGGATGAGAAGATGTGCTGCTGTTCTGGAAGATCTGGGTTCAATTTGCCAGCATCCACAGCAAGCAACTCACTCCGAGGGAATACTGATGTCCTCTTCTGGCTGCCAACAGCACCTGCACACGTGGCATTTGTTCACACAGACACAAACACATACATGCAAATAAAAACAATACAGATCTTTAAATTACAAAGGTTTGTCCACTTGAAAATTATAAAAGAACATAATAAACAATTGAATAAAATTTGAATGGACAGACAAAAGGACATTTATTGTCACTAGAAAACATCAAATGGAAACATAAAAACTTAACACTAATTAATTATCAAATGTTAGAGTCTGTCTTTGGGTCATGCTGCCATCACATACCAGAGCAGTGTCACATACTGCTTGGTATTGTTAATTTTCATTATATTGTAAAATTTCTTAACATTTGGTAAAGCTGAAAGTGAGTGATTTTGCTGCAGTTTATATGTCTAAGAAAAGTCATATTGTAACAGTCATGAATAACTATAACATTTGTTATAGTAGTCTTGATAGTGGCAGAAAATTGAAAGTAAGCCAGATGTAGATGTCTTTGTATAAAGTAGATACATTTTGTAGTATATTTGCATAATGATAAAATTTAAAGCAGTTAAACATGAATTATCTAGAATTACATAGACCAGTGTAGATAAATTTGAAAAGTTAATACTAGATATAAGAAGCAATAACTTATAAATGAGTTGCTGTATATGATACCCTTTATATAAGGTTTTAAGTGATTGATGCCAAGAAATGAATAGGTTTATAAGTAAGTAGTAATATAAAAATATTTTTGTAAGTGATAATTCCAAAACATATGTAATGCTTTCCTCTAGAGAAGAAAGGAAGAAAATGATTTAAGCTTCAATGTGCCATTGTATGGTTAAGTAAAACAAAGATAAATGTTTAAATAATAACCAACGTAATATTGTATTTGGATTTGTTCATAGTGAATATTCATTTCTGGATGTTACTGTAATGAAAATAATTATTAGGAAATAGTGAAATTAATGAATGTTCTTTTGGTTAATTAAAACCTTTTTACAGTAGTTTTTATTAGTGGTAAAATGTTTTCTTTATATTTTCAGCATAAATATGAGGTGGATAGATTGTTGCGTTAAGCAAAATTTTAGGATCAAATTTTGTCAATAAAGTAAACACGTTTAACTGTGTTGAAAGGTGACTTTTTTATATGCCCCTCTGATCTCAGTTTTGATCAAAGGGTTTACCAAAGTCACCAAGAACAATTTAGAGATTGCCAAGGACTTGTTTAAAAGTGTTTTCAAGTCTGACCGAGAACTCTGACATTTATAAATATATAAGAAGATAGGAATATTTAAAATCATGTTTTTTTTTCAGGTTTGATTTTAAAGAAACTACTCCACACAGGAAACTCCTTAAAGGTATAATATAATTATACTTATTTTCTATGACAAAAAATAGCCCCAAAAAACCCTGAGTAAAAGAGCTGGGGTGACTCAGAGTGTTTGCTAAATATATGCAGGGCCCTGAGTTGGTCCCCAGAACTGCATAAAGTAGGTGTGATAACGCCTTCTTGGAACCCCAGCACTCAATAGCTGGAAGCAGGAGGATTTCAAAATAGTGGGAGTTGTAGAGATGTCCTGGGTGTATCTGTTTTCACTCTCTATCCTGTCTTTTTCTTTCTTCAACAAAATAGCATTCTAAAGAACTGTGTTTTAAGGAGCAAGAAAGTATGTCCATTAAGAAATACTGTATTTCATTTTATTTTATTTTAGATCAGACGGGAAGGTGTTCGTCTCTTCTTGCTATGGTTGCAAGCTCTTCAGGATAACTGTAGCAAAGAACAACTCTGGATGTTTTCATGCTTGATCCCTGGGTTTTCAGCACCACAATCTGAATATGGACCTCGAACTTTAGATAATCTTATTAATCCTCCACTCAACCTTCAAGAAAGTAAGATTGATGAGATGTTTTCTGTCAGCATGTTTTCTGTAGAATTTCTTTTTTAAAAACGTGTTCGTTTATATGCATTTTGTGTAGTATGCAGTATGTGTAGTATTTTGGTGCACAAATGTTTGTAGTATATTTACATGTGTGCAAGTGTACTTGTCCATGATGGCCATGTGGAGGTCAGGCATTGACAGCTGGATATCGTCCTCAGTTGCTTCTCCGTCCTGAGTCTGAAATTCACCGTTCCAACTGTACTCGCTAGGGACAATCCCCCACTCCTGCAGTCTACTTGTTTTTGCCCCATAGTATTGGGATTACAGGTCTTCAAGGCCATATCAATCTTTTTTTAGTGTAGGTGCTGGTGATCTGATCTCAGGTCCTCATATTTGTTTAGTAGGCTATTTACTCACTGACATCTCTGCAGCCCTCTGTATAGTTTTTGTTTTTAATGTCAAATGTCTGTACAGTTATGGTACATGGTATTTCGAGGCAGGTAAATTGGAATTACTCTAGCTTGGTGAGGCCTGCAGGTTAAGAGAGCTGTTGGAACCGTACTTTGCTACTTAGTTTCCAAGAAAATGCACATTCCATGCCATTGGCCTATGTAGACAATGTATGTGTGTAGCTCTCTGCGTGAATGATCAGGGTTAGTCAGAGGGAACAGATGTTCATAAGTTATTGTGGGCAGGAGATTTTATTGTGGTTTCATGGAAGGAAGTAACAAATCAGTAAGAGCAAGTAAAAATCAGCTAGTGTAATAATTTAAGTGGGTTTTCATACAAAAAGGTGGTCCCTAGTTGTTTAGTCTTTGGCCCTGAAGTGATCAAGGCAGGAAAATAATACCCTTGATTCAAGAGTATAGAGGACTGTATGGGGTTGTGGACTTTAGACCGAGTGGTTTGTATCTGAGAGTCATCATTAGCAGGTTAGTCAATTACTATCTCTAGGAATTAACCAGCCCCGGTAAGGACATTATCTCTGGTAGCCAAGTTCTAGATATCAGAGCATCTAAACCATATTAGGGTTAATATAGACCTCTTCACATCATGTTTTGCTGTGTTTTTTTGAGATAGAGTTTCATATATTTCAGGCTGGCCTTAAATTCCCTATGTAGTAAAAGATGACCTCAAAAACAAGATTCTCCTGTGGGGATGTATTGGATACTACTCCTGGTTTTAATTTATAATTTCTATTCTTATGTATTGTTTTGTATGCGGGAATTAGCTTATGTGTACAGAGAAACAGAAGTGTGCTTTTCTTTGTGCAGTGACTATAAACTGCTGCATGTAAAATTTTATAAATCGAAAGTTGCTTTTTTATTTTAAATTTAATTTGTGATTTTAGAAGTGTTATTTAACTTCTGTTTTTTTCACTAGTGAATCTGTGTCCTTTTTAGCCCTAAGATTTCTGATGTTATTTTTTCTTTACATTTTAGTTTTTTCCTTTTAATATTCTGCTTAAATATCAAAGGTTTTTTTTTTGTTGTTGTTAACATATTCTTCTTGTACTAGTAAGCATTTGTGATAAATGTTGCTGTGTTAGTTGACTAGGGCTGCATAACAAACTACCACAGACAAAGTGGCTTCAGGCAGAAGTACATTTCCTGGAGGTTGGAGCTCACAGTAGATGCTGACAGGTCCAGTTTCTGGCGAGCCTTTTCTCAGCTTACATATAGCACCCTCTCACTGTGTGCTCGCATGATCTTTTCCTTAGTGCATTTGCATGCTTGTGCACACAGAGCAAACCCTCTGATGTTTCTTCTCTCCTTATATCCAGTTTCATACATTTAGGATTGAACCCTAATAGCCTCAGTATAACCTTACATGCTCTCTGTTTAAATACAATCACATTGAGGGTTCATGTTCCAGCAAATGAATTTTGGGAGTACACAGTTTAGTCCATAACTTGTACTCAATTGGATGTTCCATATTATTGTAATATATATTTCCAAAAATTACAGGTTTTTATAGCAAAGCAAACTGTACTTGTAGCATAAAATTTCAGAAACAAAACCAAGTTTGCATAAAAGTCTATAAATATACCAGCTTAAGCAGACCACTTAAATCTGCTTATTTACATACATGTCATTCTGAAGTCTTCAACTAATGTTCCTTGAACATTTTTTCTTTTGGATCACTGCCGTCCATTCCATCTGTAAGTTTCCTTTTGTCTCTATTTTTAGATCTAGGTTTCTTTTTTTTTTCCATTAGTTTCAAATGCATTTTGACCAACTATTTTGCATTCTCTTTCTGAGAACAAAATTTGAGCTTTCCTTTAATTTTTTGTGCGTATGTATGTGTGTCTAATTGTCTGTGTACCATTTGCACATAGGTGTCCACAGAGCCCAGAAAGAGGTCTCAGATCTTCTGGGATTGGAGTGTCCAGTGGTTTTTGAGCTACCTGATGTAGGTTCTGGGAACTAAACCTGGGGCAAATAAGAGCAGTACACACTCTACAGTGCTGAGCCCTCTTTCAGCCCCGAGAATAGAAGTTTAGCTGTTTACAGAGCTACATTCCTCTATAGCTGCTTAGAAGTTCTTGGGTCTTAAATAGGGGCTTATAGCTTTGCAAAATAAAACACTGGTACTACTCTGTGAGGACAGGGTGCAAATAGTAAAAGGTTGTTCTTTTAAATAGTAAGTTTTTAAAATGGGTGTAGAAATGACATACTGTGTATTATTTTAGAACTGAAAAATACCTTTGTTGTGGGCTTACTAACTTGGGCAGTATAACCAGTTACTGATTGTTCTGTTTGGGAAATTTGAGAACATTTTGCTAACTGTGGGTTTAATTAATTAATTAATTAATATTTATTTATTTGTTATTTATTTTTGCAGCAGCATTCATTATAGTGAATTAATATCTGAAAAGTAAAACACAGATTTCTCACATATAATCAGAATGCTAACTTTATGTAGTAATGTTTCTCATCATATTGTGGCAACCTGTAATTGACACTCCCAATGTGAATCTTCTCCAGTGAGGTCCTTGCATCCTCAATCACTACACACCTGCTCATCCCTGTTCAATTTCCTCTCAATCATGGATTCACAAAAAGCCAGTTTTCAAGTTTACAATGATTATAGATTGCCAGGTTATACTCAGATATATTTCAACATAAAATAATCAGAAAAATTTGAGAGCAGTTTTCATTGCTTAATTATTTTGTTAAATTTTATTTGGTCATATTTTTGTATAATATGTAATGCAGTTTGTCTTATGATTATACATTTTTTTTTTTTGTCTTCGGATAGCTCAAGTAACTATAGAGGAAGTTACCCCTCTTGTTCCCCCGCAGTCAGGAGATAAAGGACAAGAAGACCTCACAAGCTATTTTCTTGAAGCACTTTTAAAATATATAGTAATTCAGGTATGTTACCATCTTTCTACTGCATGGGCACATGGCCTTTTCTCTGTGCTTACTTGCATGCGCACCCAGAACCTCCTGGTGTTCTTTCTCTTCTTTTTTCTCCTTATGAAAAGATACTCTCCATTCTGCTGAATATTTTTCCAGTCTTTTATCATTTCTTTGTTATAGTAGATATTTGCATATTTTCTTGAATAGTGACACAATTTTTAATTTTGAAGATATATGTTATTGTCATTTCCTCAAATGAAAATCATTAGGAGATTATGAAACTCAGAGAACTTGCATCTTTCTTTTGGTGTGATAAAGCACCATGAACAAGAAAGACAAAGAGTTTGAGCTTACAGTTGAGGAGAAACAGCAGGGCAACAGGAGTGGAGGCTGAGAAGATGAACTGGAACTGACACAAGTCTTTACATTCTCAAAGCCTGCCTCCCATGACATACTTCTCCAACAAGTCCTCTCCTTCCAAACACTACCGTTCTTATTCAAACTGCCTTAGAGCTGAAGAGAGAAATGTGTATGAAGTAGATTCTTTTATGTATGTGTGCATGTGTGTATGTACATGCACATCTGTGTATGGAGGCTAGAGATTGACATCAATTGTCTTCTTCAATTCCTTTTCCACCTTTCTTTTTGATCCAGGATCTGTTATTCTGTCAGTGAACCTCATTAGTTCAGCCAAACTGGCTGACCACTGAGCTTCGGGGATCTATTTACCTGCCCCTCTGTCCTGCCATAGATGCAAGCCACAGTGCAGTTTTTCCTTGAGAACCTAGCATCCATGTTCAGATCCTCATGCTTCCAGGCACTTTACCTCCTGAGCCACCTTCCCAGCCCCATGAAGTAGTGTCTTCCGTTTATATTTTGAGACAGGATCTTACTATGTATCTCTGGCCAAGCTGGAACTTGCCGTGTAGCTCTGGTGGCCCAGTACTCAGAGATCTGCCTGCCTCTGCTTCTTGAGTGCTGGGTTTGCAGGTGTGTACTATCACCCTGCTGTGAAGTAGACTCTAGATGTGTGTGAGCTTCTTACACAAGTAGTCAGACTTACTTTCTGATCCTGCCATTATTACCAGCACTTCTGATGCTTAAGTGAAATATGAACAGCTGCTTGATTTAGGATCAATCTCTCAGGATGTAACAAGAGGGTGACTGACAGGATAGGAATCAGGGAAAACTAATTTACATTTAAACACTTAAACAATAAGTGTTTCTCATCTCTAGTTGTGAAATATGCGTGTTCTAGTTGATAAAAATACCTTTTCACATACTTTTACTATTTGTAATTATTCACATGCAAAAGTTCTTTTACCTGAGAAACAAATACTATATTGTTAATGTGAATCCTGAGCAAGATTAGCAGAGTTTTAATTCTGATTTTATTTTTTTTAGTTGTTAGTGACTTTATTATTTTTTATTTATTTTTATTTTTTTATTATTAAAAATTTCCGCCTCCTCCCCACCTCCCATTTCCCTCCCCCTCCCCCATCCCCCTTTCCCTCTCTCTGCAGTCCAAAGAGCAGTCAGGGTTCCCTGCCCTTTGGGAAGTCCAAGGTCCTCCCCACTCCATCCAGGTCTAGGAAAGTGAGCATCCAACAGGCTATGCTCCCAAAAAGCCAGTACATGCAGTAGGATCAAAATTCAGTGCCATTGTCCTTTGGCTTCTCAGTCAGCCCTCATTGTCCGCCACATTCAGAGAGTCCGGTTTGATCCCATGCTTTTTCAGTCCCAGTTCAACTGGCCTTGGTGAGCTCCAATTAGACCAGCCCCACCGTCTCAGTGGGTGGGCACACCCCTCGCCATCCTGACTTCCTTGCTCATGTTGTCCCTCCTACTGCTTTTCATTTGGACCTTGGGAGCTCAGTCCAGTGCTCCAGTGTGGGTCTCTGTCTCTATCTCCATCCATCGCCAGATGAAGGTTCTATGGTGATATGTAAGATATTCATCAGTATGGCTATAGGATAGGGCCATTTCAGGCTCCCTTTCCTCAGCTGCCCAAGAAACTAGCTGGGCACATCTTCTTGGACACCTAGGAACCCTTCTAGAGTCAAGTCTCTTGCCAACCCTAAAATGGCTCCCTAGTGTGACCTTTGTTAAATTACCTAACCATTCTACATTTAGGTTTCCTCATTTATAGAATACCGTCTGTTCTATTTAAACCTTCAGTAGTGCAAAGTGCTAAGATTCAAGGGGTACAACGCATAGGAAGTGTTCTGTAATGGGCACTTGTTACTCTCATCATTATTTTTTGTTTTTGAAAAGTTTATGCATCATATGAGTTTTTAAAACTGCCTTATAGGTTAATTGAGATGTAATTGCTTATACAGTTAATTTTGACATTGGGTTTTATCATTTGCTGGATCTTTCTTCTCGTCTTTTCTTTTTCTCCCCCCTCCCTCCCTTCCTTTTGTAGTCTCATAATACTTTGAAACTACCTACATAGCCTTTCCTAGGCTGGCATCAAATCATAATCTTCCTGATTCAGCCTCTGGAATACTGAAGTTGTAGGCCAGACACGATTTATTGAATCTTGTTTTATGACACCATCACATATTCAGCCTTTGGAGTTTTCTTTTCTTGATCCTTTGACTTTTACATTCTTTCCATCTGTTCTGTAAGCCTTGGGTGGGGATGTATTTTGACCCGTCCATGGCTGGGCATTCTCAGTCACTTCTTATTAGCACTTTGACTAGTTTTTTTACTAACTGTTACGGCAAGAAAAAGCTTTTCTGACCATGATTCAGAGTAAAACAAATCTGTGGATGTAAGCATTAATATTTAGAAAACATTTTGACTGCATAACCATTTAGCAAAACATCACCTTGGGTTCCTTACTAGGGCCTATGAGCTTTCCAGTCAAGAGACTTTGACCAAGTTTATAGTACTAGACATGAGCTCCCTCCTGTGAAGCAGGCCTTTAATCCACTAATAATTGTTTACCTCCATAACATCATGCCTGTTCTTACATCAGTAGGCATAACTGTCCTGGCAGCTCAACATTGTAACATTCAGGGTCCAGTCTTACATAAGATCACCAGAGTCTTCTCCCACTCCTCACAACAGTCTTCATAATATCTTCCAGAAATATGCTAGCTAGCCAACAGGAGAAAGTTTTCTGGTGAGTTTGAGACTGATTTCTCTATGACCTTTAACCAAAGTGGGTGGCGTTTTCAGCAATAGCATCTTTCTGTTGTTGGAAGTTTCTGTCTTGCCTGGTTCTGTAGCCGTTCAGTCCCAAAGAAACACACAGAGGCCTACATTAATTATAAACTGGTTGGCCTATTAGTACAGGCTTCTTATTAACTCTTATATCTTAAATTAACCCATAATTCTTGTCTGTGTTAGCCACATGGCTTGGTACCTTTTATCAGTGAGGCATGCGCCTGGGTGACTTCTGCAGACTGGATCTTTCCTCTTCCCAGAATTCTCCTGTTCTGGTTGTCCTGCCTATACTTCCTGTGTGGCTACTGGCCAATTAGTGTTTTATTAAACCAAAACAAGTGACACATCTTTACAGGGTACAAGACCATTGTCTCACAGTATCTTTCTATTTTCTTTTTTAGATTTTGTCATACAGAAATACCACAGTTACTTTATAATGTTGGCGGGCATTTGGGCATTGAACTCAGATGATCAGGATTGTGTGGAAAGACTTATCCAGAGAGTCACTTTGCCTGCCCTATTTTCTTTTGAAGAAGAGATACCTTTTAATTTGACAAAGTATAAGAAATCAAGGCTTTTTTTTTCCTTTTATGAACCAGATTTTTGATGCTGCTTTCAAGGAGAAAAAGATCTTGCTAGGATAAATGGCGCACTCCTTTAATTCCAGAAGTGGGAATAGCAACAGGTGGCTCTCTTAAGAGTTGTATGCCAGTATGTTCTAAATTGTGAGTTCCAGGCCAGCCAAGGCTATATAGTAAGACCCCACCCCCACCCCATACCCTAAGGAATAAAAGAAAAAAATCTTTTTCTACTTCAGTGTCAAAAAGATATTTTTCTAATTTTTTAGTCTTATAATTTAATGATTATTTTTGAGATCTCTGGGTCTTTTTGAGTGAATTCATGTACATCTGTAGTGTAGATCTTGATGTTTTTATTAGGTTGTATCTACCAGGCTTTTCAAATGTGATAATACTATTAATACTATTTTTCCTTTTATCAGTCAATATTTGGGGGAAATACATTCTAATTATGTAACCTCTTCAAAATTTTACTCATAGTTTTAGTATCTACTTAAGGCTTCTGGCTGAATTTTTTTTTACCTTGAGACAGTTTTCTCTCTTTAACAGCCCTGGCTGTCCCAGAACTCTCTTTGTAGACCAGGCTGGCCTTGAACTCACAGCGATCCATCTGCCTCTGCCTCCCCAGTGCTGGAATTAAAGGCATATGCCACCACTGCCCAGCCATCTGGCTGAATTTTTATTATGATGGTTGCCAACTAGAAATTGTTTGAGTGTGGCTTATTGAACTGTCATGGACATGCAGTCTAGCTGTCACATGGAATATGCAGTGTAGTGGGATGTTCTTAAGGACTGTCCTGCTGTTGTTACATGCAGTTTTGAAATATTTTAATTTCCTCTCATAAAATAAAATCTCAAGCCTGTTAAGAGTCTTATTCCAGTGTCACTCCATGTTCTGCTCTAGGAAAACACTAATATTTTTGCTTATCTTAACATTTCAAATAAATGAATTCATTTGGTGAAGTCAAAATGGATTCACACAATGTATTCTTTTTTAACCTGCTTCTTTTACAAATTAGCAAATGCTTTACAAATTCATTCATGTTTTAGCGTAATTAGTTGTTTCTTTTTATTATGTGTATATGCCAAGTGTGTATCTGTTGGGATATTTGAATATTTCCTCTTTTTAGCCAACATTGTAAAATAATCCTTTCACAGAGTGGAAGGTGATTAATCTGTGTTGCTTTTATTCAGCATGTGTGTGGTAGCCTGTCGTAATGCCAATAGAAAGCTTATGAGATATGTTATGTCATTTTAGCTTTTTAAAACACCTCGGCAATTTAGTACAACCAGAGTCTCAGATTACAAATGAAACCCAAGGGTGTAAGGCTGTTTAACGTGGCATACCCACATACAAAAAAAATAATAATAATAATCCTGTCATAGCCTCTACATTCATGTAGGCCAGGAATTATCTGCAAAGGTTTTCTTCCCTACTTATTTTCCATTGTCTCTAATAATATTCTTTTAAAAATTTGTTGCATTTTTATTTATTTTATTGGAGGGAAGCAAGGGGTGTCCATGATGCAAATGTGGAGGTCAGAGAACAGGATTGTTTTCTTCAACCATGTGTGTCCTAGAGGATTGAACATAGGTTTCCAGGCTTGGTGGCAGTACCTTTACCCACTGAGCCATCTTGCTCTTCCTCAGTATAATTCTTTTCGATCTCGTAGATCCTTTTTTTCAGTTATTAAATTTGTTTGTTTTGAATCAGAGTCTGTCAGTGTAGTCCTGACTGTCTTGGACCTCCTGTGTACATCAGGCTGGCCTTGAACTCATAGTATTTCACTGGCCTCTGTGTCTTGAGTGTTGTGATTAAAAGTGCTCCAGTATAATTCTTTACTGTTACAGTTTTGTCTTTTACTTTCCTTTGCCATCTCTGGAGGCTCCTGCTTGAAATCTAGTATCTAGGTACTTGGATTGCTCATTACTATCAATACTGAGTGTTGCTATTTCTGCATCCTCTTAAAGACTAAAGTCAAAGAATAAATATGTATACACACATCTATCCCCTTTGGTCCATCTTTTCCTTTGTGACAAACTTGTCTCATATTCTCAATATATTATTTAGTTAGCCTTCTTAAAAGTGATCATATTTACCCAAATACCATTTCCATGCAGACATTCTCCTTAACTTGTCTGGGCTCCAATAATTTACCTTGGGCCTTTGCAGACTCCTTTCTTAGGTATCTTTCTCATTTTGCTGGAAGTCCAAAATGGAGTATTATTACTCTGTGTCTTCCTACTTCTCTACTTTACATTGCATGAACAATCTGTAGACATCTCAGTCTCCAAGTCTCCACTGAGCTGCTGCCTTTCATGTATAATCTGCTTCCTGTTCTTGGGTTTTGATATCTGCACTTGCCTACTACCACTGTGAATGCACACACACATAATCCTGGCCATATATACCTCTGTCGTTGATCACAGTTATCCAGGAAGAGATAGAAAGAACATTACTGTATTTGTCATTAATACAGCCAAACAAGTCATTTTCACAATTTTGCAATATACAATATAGTGTAAGAATTTAAAAAATATATGTAATACAGTTTTATATAGACCAATTTTAAAGGATGGATTATAATTAAAGCGCATTATATGTGTATGTATGAAAATTATGTAGTGAAACCACTTTGTATGTTAATAAAATGAAGAATAACATTTGCAATATAGTATGATGTTCATAGTCTAAAAGGTTCAATATATTATAACCTCTATAAGCTTGTTTATAACAGCTAAACTATATTCAAGAGATTCTGTATTGGAATGATTCTAACAATATCATTTATTTTTAGGTAAAAAGTTTAGAATGGAAGAACAAAGAAAACCAAGAAAGGGGATTTTCATTTTTGTTTTCACATTTTAAGAAGTTTTACTTGCCTTATATTTTCCCAAACATCTGCAAGGAGAATAGTTTATATCATCCTGTACTTGGTAGGTATAATTCTGAATTTTATAAAAGAACACACATAAGAATAGAATGTCAGTGTAAAGTTGGTATTTACTTAGAGAAAACTGATCATTTGTATTGATTCTATACCAGATTCATAATGAAAGTGCATTTGTGGTAACAGATTTTTACTGAGAATGGAAAGGTTTCAATAAAAGTTTACTCTCTGGATCTCATCCATTGGAGTTAGCAGTAGATTAAATTGAATTCTCATGTTTCTATGATCATTAGGGTGTGTGTGTACTTTTTTCTTTTCTTTTTTAAATTTTGATCAGAATTGGTAAGCTGCCTAAGTTGGTCTGGAACTTGATACATAGCCCAATATCTCAGACCCAGACTGGTCCCAGGTTTGTGATCTTCCTGTCTCAGCCTCCTGAGTGCTGGGATTACAGGTATGTGCCATCATGCTCAACTTTAAAATTTATATTGTGAATTTGTTTTCCTACGATTTCTCAAGGGTTCAGCGAACAATCAAATTGTAGAAATTGTTAAATTGTTTATTTTTGTCATTTCTTGTCCAATTTTTATGTGGTTTTGCCAAGTGACCTGTTGGAGCCTTGCATTAGAGTCTTGTGTACAAATCTTGATAGACCTGGGCAATGTGTATATGAGAGGAAGAGATAAGTCTGTATGTAGAAAATTTATTTTGAAGAAGGATGTGGCAAATTCAGGCAACTAGCAGACTCAGGTGTTGCCATCATGACCATCTCATTGAATGTTTTTTTGTTTGTTTTCAAGATAAGGTTTCTCTGTGTAACAGATACTCAGAGATCCACCTGCCTCTGCTTTGTGAGTGCTGGGATTGATGGTATTTTGGAAAAGTCATACTTTTATATATTAGTCTAATATAAGGTTCATTCTTCTAGGTTCTTAACTAGCATCTCACATTATAAAATGATTATTTTTTAATTAACACTTCTAAAACCAGTATAGTGTCAGAATATCTCCTAAAAATTTAAAAATATAGGCTTAGCTAAGAGTAATTGCATTTTTCATTTTATGTTTTGCTTTCTATTTTTCACATAGATATCCCACAGATCAGACCAAAGCCTCATTACGTGATGATAAAGAAGGATGCTGAAACCAATGAAGCAATATATTGTACAAAAGAGCCTTTCATCCAAGCTCGGGTTATTGTCATTCGTTGGCTGGTTTCTTTCTGGCTTGAGCCAAAACCACATTCAGGACCTAATATTCCTGGGATGGAAGGTGAAGTTTTGCCAAAGAATATTCAGGTAATATACAAATAAAGCAAGGCTGTTAAAGCTAGAAATGGCTTCCAGAATTCATCTGCCTTAGTTATACAGTATGTTTAGAATAGATGCTAGAGACAGCTTATTTGCATAAATCTATCTCATAAACTCAAACTTTAACCATTATTATTGTAGAAATAGTATTAGCTGGGTTGTGGTGACACATTCCTTTAATCCTAGCACTTGGGAGGGAAAGGCAGGCAGCTCTCTGAGTTGGAGTTCAGCCTGGTCTACAGAGCAAGTTCTAGGACAGCCAGGGATAAACAGAGAAACCCTGTTCCAAAAATGGAAGAAAAAAAGGAGAAGAAAAATTAGTATTAATTTCTTAATGGAAAATAAAGTTTGTATAATAAATATCTAAAATTCTTTTTTAAAAAGTTAAGATAGCCTGGGGGATATAGATGGTAATTTTAGTCCTGTATTATCACAGAAGTTTAATAGAAAATAGTCTCCTTTATTCATAGAGTATAGGTTTGGAGGTCCCTTGGATCCCTGAAGTTGCAGATAGTACTGAACCTTTGTGTGATGTTTTTCCCTATTCAGGGTATGGTAAGTTTAATTTAACTCTGATTCTCATGCTTTCATAACCATCAATTTGCCTACTAATTTATCTTCCAACCTCATTCTTTTTACATTCTAAACAGTCAAAGAATACAGATTTGAAATCTGGCCCAAATGCTTCCATTTTAACAGACACTGAGTCTAAAAATATAAATGAATGTTACATAACTATACAGTGGAGAAACTAGGATTTTAAATTATGTTGTTTTTTTTTTAATTCAACAGTATTTCATCCTTATACTTCTTTTTCAGGTTCTCTTTTCCCCTAATATTGTGCTTTCCCCAACGTGTGTGTGTGTGTGTTTACTGAGTGATGCCATTTATTTGAATCTAATGTTGGCACAAACTTAAATGTCAAATCCTTATTTCTTTTTATGAATTTAAACAATTTTACTGAAAATAAATTATATTTTGATTTCATTTTTCGTTTTTCCTGCTTCCTCCCAGATCCTTCCCACTTCCCTATCCACCCAACTATATATTCTTTACCCTATCTCTTTAATACAAACCCAAAACAACAACAAAAGCAAGAACCACACACACCTACAAAATGAAAATAAAAACAAGCAGAAGACCAATAAAATAAAAAAAATTAAAACAAAGCAAAATGAGGCAAAAAGTCTACAAAAATATCATTGAGTTTATTTTGATTGGCCAATTCCTCCTGGCCATGGAGCCCCCCTGAGGTGTGGCTAATACAGCCAGTGAGATTTCCTTAGCCAGCGGGTATCAGCTGCAGAAAGCTTCTTGGTAAAGGTGGGATCCCATGTCCACTTCAACCTTGCAGTGCTGGGATTCCATCTGGCTTTAATCTGTGCAATATATATGCTTTCACAGTCTCTGTGAGTTCATATGTGCATCAGTCCTGTTCTGTATGGAAAATAAGGTTTCCTTGCTGTCATCTGTCACCTTTGGCTCTTACAATCGTTTTGCCTTTTCTTCCAAGTAGATCCCCGAGCTTTGAGAGGCGGGTTTGATGAAGAAATTCCATTTAGAATGGAGTGCTCCAAAGTCTCTCATTCTCTGCACATTGTTCAGTTGCTGTCTCAGTGTTAACCCCCATTTACTGCAGGAAGAAGCATCTTTGATAAGGATTGAGTGAGGCACTGACCTATGGGTAGAGCCATATGCCAGTGTCATTGGAAACCATTTTATTGCTGTTCACTTGTAGCAGAATCATAGTATTAAGGGTTTTTTTTTCCCCCCTAGAAGCATGAACTCTATGGTCTCAGGTTCTTGGCCACTTGAGCAGATGGTACCAGATATGAGTTCCATCTCCTGAAGTCTACCTGAAATCCAATCAGAAAAGGATTGTTTACTCCCATGACATTTGTGCCATTGTTGCATCAGGATGTCTTGCAGTCGGGTTATAGCTGGGTGATACTGATGATGTAAGTGTCTTCAGCAATAGGTTCGTTCCATCAGGTTATTGGAGAGTAACCAATAGCCTTGGTAATAGCGTTGATGTTTGGGTGTTTCCATTGGGTCCCTTTAGCCAGCGACCAAAAGTGCAATCCATTCCTGGCACTGGAGGTTTTATTTGGTGGCAGAATGTCTAGGTGGGGCATTGTCTCCCTTATTTGATGACTTCACTTAAATTCTTCATTTATGTATAGATTGTAGGAAGCTTCTGCAGTAGTAGGTTTCATATGGTTTTTCAAATGGCCATAGTGTTAGATGTTCCTCTCCATATTCCCTGCTTTACCTTTCTCCTTTGTCTCTCCACACTGCTATACTCTATTTCCCCTTCCTTGGGAAATCCTCCCCTACTCCCAGTCCCATATTAAAAACTTAATTTTTGTGGGAATTGTAGCATGCACATCGAAGATTTGAAAACTAACATCCACATATAAGAGAAACATACAATATATGCCTTTTTAAAGTTTGAGTCACCTCTTTCAGGATGATTTTTTTTTTTTTTAGTTCCTGTGACTCATTTTTATTATTCACTCACTAGCTGATGAACATCCAGGCTGTTTACAATTTCAGGCTATTATGTATAGAGTAAATGGACATGGATGAGTAAGTACCTCTATTAGTAGGCTATAGAGCCCTGTATATCAAAAGAACTTGTGTCAAGAGTGATATAGGTGGCTCTTGATTTATATAGATTCCCAGCTTTCTAAGGAACCACCACACTGATTTCAATAGTGACTGTACCAGTTGGCACTCCCATTAGCAGTGAATAAGTTTCCCTTTTCCCTATATCCACACCAGCATGTGATGTGATTTGTTTAATTGATCTTGGCCATTCCTACTAGTATAGGATGAAATCTCAAAGAAGTTTTAGTTTGCATTTTACTGTTAAGAGGGCTGACCATTTATTTCTTTAAGTGTTTTTCAACCACTTGTGATTCGTCTTTTGGGGACTCTGCTTAGTTCTGTATCTCAATTGTGTTGTTGTTGTGTTTTTGTTTAATTTTTTTAGTTCTTTATATATATTTAGATACCAACCCTCTATCATATGTTTTCCCATTCTGTAGGCTGCTACTTTGTTGAAATGATAGTGTGTTTTGCTGTACACAAGCTTTTCAGCTTCCTGAGGTCTCATTGAGTAGTTGTTGATCTATTGTTATCAATGTCCTGTTCCGAAAGTAATTTCCTGTTCCAATGAGCTTGAACCTTTCCAGCAATTTTTCTTTTATCACATTCAAGGTGTCTGTGCTTATGTTGATATCCTTGATCCATCTGGAGTTGAGTTTTGTACAGGTTGATAAATAATTGTTCTATTTGAATTCTTCTTGACTAGAAACATTTGTTAAAGATGTGATCTTTTCTCCAATGTCTATTTTTGACTTCTTTGTCAAAAACCAAGTATCCATAGGTGTGTGGACTTATGTCTGGGTCTTCAGTTCAGTTCCATTGATCAGTGTGTGTTTTTATGCCAATAACATGCTGTTTTTCTTAAGGTAGCTCTGTCATACAACTTGAACTTTGGGATAATGAACTTCTGTCAGTTCTTTTGTTTGCATGATTGTTTTGGTACCCTGAATTTTTTTGTCTTTGCATATCAAGTTTTAATTTCTGTGAAGAATTGTGTTGAGCTTTTTGGGGGATTGCATTGAATTTGTAGATACTTTTAATAAGATAGCTGTTTTCACAATAATCCTATGGGTCCATGAGCATGGGAAGTCTTCCTATCTTCTGATGTCTTCAGTGTCTTTTTTTTTACTTTTTAATTATTTATTTATTTTTTTGCTTTATTATTATTATTAAAAATTTCCACCTCCTCCCATTTCCCTCCTCGTCTCTCTACTCCCCCTCCCCCTCCCTCTCCAGTCCAAAGAGCAGTCAGGGTTCCCTCCCTGTGGGAAGTCCAAGGTCCTCCCCCAGGTCTAGGAAGGTGAGCATCCAAACAGGCTAGGCTCCCCCAAAGCCAGTACATGCAGTGGGATCAAAACCCAGTGCCACTGTTCTTGGCTTTTCAGTCAGCTCTCATTGTCTGCCACGTTCAGAGAGTCCGGTTTGATCACATGCTCCATCAGTCCCAGTTCAGCTGGCCTTGGTGAGCTCCCATTAGATCAGCACCACCGTCTCAGTGGGTGGGTGCCCCCCTCACGGTCTTGACTTCCTTGCTCATGTTCTCCCTCCTTCTGTTCCTCATTTGGACCTTGGGAGCTCAGTCCATTGCTCCAATGTGGGTCTCTGTCTCTATCTCCATCCATCGCCAGATGAAGGTTCTATGGTGATATGCAAGATATTCATTAGTATGGCTATAGGATCGGGCCATTTCAGGCTCTGTCTCCTCAGCTGCCCAAGGACCTAGTTGGGGACATCTCTGTGGACCCCTGGGAATCCCTCTAGAGTCAAAGCTCTTGCCAACCCTACAATGGCTCCCTTAATTAAGATATATATACTTCCCTGCTCCCAAATTCATCCTTCCATTATCCCAACCATCCCATTCCCCCAAGCTCTCTCCATCCTCCCCTTCTCACTCGGCTCTCCCCATCTCCCCTTTCCCCCATCCCACCTCACCCCCTAGTTCCCAATTTTTGCCCAGCAATCTTGTCTACTTCCAATATCCAGGAGGATAACTATATGTTTTTCTTTGGGTTCACCTTCTTATTTAGCTTCTCTAGGATCGCGAATTATAGGCTCACTGTCCTATATTTATGGCTAAAAACCAATTATGAGTGAGTACATCCCATGTTCATCTTTTTGGGTCTGGGTTACCTCACTCAGGATAGTGTTTTCTATTTCCATCCATTTGCATGCAAAATTCAAGAAGTCATTGTTTTTTACCGCTGAGTAGTACTCTAATGTGTATATATTCCACACTTTCTTCATCCATTCTTCCATGGAAGGGCATCTAGGTTGTTTCCAGGTTCTGGCTATTACAAATAATGCTGCTATGAACATAGTTGAACAAATACTTTTGTAGTATGATAGGGCATCTCTTGGGTATATTCCCAAGAGTGGTATTGCTGGGTCCTGGGGTAGGTTGATCCCAAATTTCCTGAGAAACCGCCACACTGCTTTCCAATAGAAAAAAAAAAATGGGGCACTGAACTGAACAGAGAATTCTCAACAGAAGAAGTTCAAATGGCCAAAAGGTCATGCTCAACCTCCTTAGCAATCAGGGAAATGCAAATCAAAACAACTTTGAGATACCATCTTACACCTGTCAGAATGGCTAAAATCAAAAACACCAATGATAGCCTTTGCTGGAGAGGCTGTGGAGGAAGGGGTACCCTCATCCATTGCTGGTGGGAATGCAAACTCGTGCAACCACTATGGAAAGAATTGCCATTTTTTACTATGTTGATCCTACCCATCCAAGAGCATGAGAGATCCTTCCATTTTCTGGTGTCCTCTTCAATTTCTTTCTTCAAAGACTTAAAGTTCTTGTCAAATAGATCTTTCATTTCCTTGGTTAGAGTTACCCCAAGATACTTTATGCTATTGTGGCTATCGTAAAAGGTGAAGTTTCTCTGAATTCCCTCTCTGCTTCTCTATCCTTTGTGTATAGGAGAGCTTCTGATTTTTTTGAGTTGATCTTGTAACGTGCCACATCGCTGAAGTTATTTATCAGCTGTAGGAGTTCTTTGGTAGAGCATGGGAAGTCTTCCTATCTTCTGATGTCTTTAGTGTCTTAACGCTTTTATTATAAGTCTTTCCTTGCTTGTTTAGAGTTATTACAGTATGTATTTTTGAGACTATTGTAAAGGTACTATTCCCTGTTTTCATTTATATATGAGAAGACTACTGATTTTTGTGTGTTAATTTTGTATCCTGCTATTTTGCTTAAGTGGTTAGCAGCTGTATAAGTCTCCTGGTGGAGTTCTTTGGGTCTTTTATATATAGAAATCACATCATCTACAAATAAAAATACTTGAATTTCTCCCTTTCCTATTTGTATCCCCTTGATCTCCTTCAGCTGTTTTATTGCTCTACTTAAAACTTTAAGTACTATATGAATTGGTATAGAGAGTTGACATCCTTGTTGTGTTCCTGGTTTTAGTGGAAGTGCTTTGGTATTGTCTCCATTTAGGTTGTCATTGGCTATGGGCTTACTGTAAATTGCCTTTATTATGTTGAGGTATATTCTTTGTATCCCTAGTCTCTCCAAAACTTTTATCGTGAAGTAATGTTGGATTTTGTCAAAGGCCTTTTCTAATGGAATGATCACGTAGTTTTGTCTTTTAGTCTGTTTTTGTGCTGAATTATGTTTATTTATTTATATATATACATGGAGCCATCCCTGCATTTCTGTTAAGAAACCAGTTTGATCAGGTTAATCGTGGTCTCCAGGCTTGATGAGTATTCTGTTATTATAGTGAATAGCATTTTCTCAAAATTCCGAAGATTTTCTCTTAATTTTATTTCTTTGTTTTCTCTCATGAATCTTGCTTCCTCCTCTCTGTACTGTCGGTACTACTACGTGTACTACGGTACTACCCCTGTAGTGCAGCGCCTGCACTAGGAGAGACAGTTCATGAGTCTCAGGCAAGGGCCTGAAGATTTAAACACACACACATATAGAGATAGAGACATGGGTCACCGTTGAAACAAAAATGCCCCCATTATTGTTTTCAGGGGCAGCTTGTATAGGGCTCTGGCCATGCCCCAGCTCTCAGGATCTTTCAGCTGCAGACCCATCATAAACCACTCCCCTGCCATCAGGGTCTCCTGCTCAGAGCAGAGGGAAACAATTGTTTACAGGAAATTCAGGGTCTGGTGGTCTGCAGTCCCCAAACTCCTCTTGTTCTGCTTCAGGAAAGTTTAAATACTTAGCATTGTGAAATAAATAGCCTAGTGCTGTTTTCTTGTCAGTTATTTACTCATTCTTAAAGACCTCAGCTTCCTCTCTGTGACTGTGTGTTGAAAGTTTTTTCATATGGGTTTAATGATGACTTAATTGAATTACCTCAGTTTAATTAAGGGTATGTAGATGATTTGTTATTACACATTTTGAGTTTTTCCTCTGTCACTTAGGTATTATCTGCATTTCTGCTTAGTTTTTCAGCATGGATTGTAATTGTTTATCTGGCTTTTAACAGTGTTGGATGTAGCCTTGGGGTATGCTAGTATTTACTAAAAGCAAAACATTGAGTTGAGTGATAATGATATCTTTCATTTTTGTTTTCATTAGAGAGCAGCTGCTAGTTTGGTATCCAGAGAAGACAACAAAAATGATAATGTTGATAAAGCAGACAAAAGTGCCGAGCCAGAGCAGTCCCATTCCAATACCAGCACTCTCACGGAGCGAGAGCCTAGCTCCTCCAGTCTCTGCAGCATTGACGAAGAGCATCTCTCGGACATCGAGATTGTTCGCAGAGTGTTTTCATCCAAAAGAAGCAATGTAAACTTTGTCACAGAGATATTTCGCCAGGTAAAATACAAGGGAACAGTTTCAGATTATAATGAAAATTATGTCATTATTACTGAATATATTGATGTTTAGCTATTTAAAAATGATTCTATAAAAATTTTTTAAGTTAATTTTAAGTTTCTTAAACCTATTTGAAAATCCTTTACATTTCTCCTTTCTCCTCCTATTTCTTGCTTGTTGTTTTCTTCCCGTAGTGAAACAGAGATTTGTGCGTGCAGAACACATGCTCTACTGGAGTTGCACCCTCACCGTTCCTTTCTTTTTCCTCCCCTTCATATTCCCTAAATTATCCAAATAGTTTGTAATTATTCACTGTGCGTCTTAGGGTTTCTGTTGCTGTGATAAAACCCCGTGACACCAAAGGTAACCTGGGGATGAAGGGGCTTATTTATAACGTGTAGTCCATAACCAGAGAAGTCAGGGCTGAAACTCAGAACAGGAACTTGAATGCAAGAGCTTATACAGAGACCATGGGATGTTGTTGCTACTTACTGGCTGCTCCTCGTGGCTTGTGCTCAGCCTGCTTTCTTACAGAACTCCAGGGGTGGTGGTGCCCACCTGAGCTGTGCCCTCCTGCATTAGTTACTAACCAGGAAAACGCAGCACAGGCCGGTTCGGTACAGGGATTTCCTCACCTGAGGTTCCTTCTTCCCAGGTGACTTTGGCTTGTGTGAAGTCACTATAAACTGGTCAGACACTGTGGTAATTAGTTTGTCAGCCCGACACAGCTTAGAGTTATCTAGGAAGAGGATCTGATGAATGGTCTAGATCAGGTGGCCGATGGGCATGGTGGGTTGTTTTGATGATAACTGATACAGGAGCAGCCAGCCCCATGTGGACAACATGATTCTTTGGGCTACTACTGTACTGAACCGTGTAGGTGTAAGGAAAGAGAGCTCAGTGCTGGAAGTATGCATGTTTCTTTCTTCTCTGCTCCTGTGTTATGACTAACTGGTCCAGCTCCTGCTGTCAATGACTTTCTAGCAGCAGTGGGCTGTACCTGGAATTGTAAGCTAAAATAGACACTCATTATGACATTTTCAAGCGTGGACATATACACGTCATAGTCCTCTGTTACTCTCTTTTGTACCCTCCCACTTGTGCTCTCCCCCTTCCTCATCTCAGCTATCTCTCCTCCTTCTCATGTCTAGTTTCATTACAGTTGTTCATTTATGGGAGTAAACTGTGGTTATACCACTGAAGAAAGTGTTTCTCCCTCCCCTGCAACCCTTTATTGTGTATAAATCTTCAGAGCAAGGTGGGGGCCCATGACTCTTTCCCTGCTCAATGACAGGATGTTGACCAGCCTAGTCTTAGGCAGATCTTGTGGAGGTTAGCAGAGCTACTGAGAGTTAAGGAGTGTGACAACCACGGCATTCCTGGAAGTCAGTGTTCCACACTTGTATACCTCCCACTCAGCTCTTACATTCTTTCTGCCCTCTTTCTGTATATTCTCCATGGGGAGGTGTTATAGAGTCACATTGTACCTGGCCATTTCATAGTCATTTATTCCCTGTCCTTGACTAGTTATGGCTCTTCGCAGTCATTGCTGACCTCTGTACAAAGTATTTCTGACTACCCTAATAGCGCTAACCTGTGAGTATAAACATAGTTATTTAAAGAATAATTTCAGGACCAAATTTGGTGGTTCATGATTTCTAATTCCAGAACATGGTCTGTAGAAGCTGGCAGGCCAGACAGAAGCAGGTGGATCTCTCAGAGTTGGGCCAGCCTGGTCTAGTGACATCCTGTCTCATAAAAGGGGCACAGGGATAGTTTTATAGACATATCTTATTTACCAGAATGACAGCAATAGCCTCCCATCTAAAGTTTATGATTTCCCTAACCTAGGCATTTGAATGGGTTTACAATACCAGATGTGAACTTCTTATGAAGCAGGCATCAAACCCAGTTAGAAAGCAAGTGGTTACTCACAACAGACTTAGAATATTGCATCACTGGGTTATCTTGCCTATCTAGTTGTTTTTTGTACTTTTTTCCCCTTTTTGATAGAGATTCTCACTCTGTATCCATGGCTGGCTTTGAACTCACTCTGTAGGAAGAGCCACTTTCGGGGGGGGGGGGACTATTGTGAACGGGGTTGTTTTTCTGATTTATTCTCAGTGTGTTTATCATTGGTTTATAGGGAGGCTACTGATTTTCTATGTTAAATTTGAGTCCTTGCTTGATACTGAAAATGCTCATCAGCGCTGAGTTTTCTGGTAGATTCTTTTGAGTCTCAGGTGTAGTGCTGAGGGGTATACACCAGAGACCACTGCTTACAAATGGGTTTAAACCGATAGAAATCTTGATTAGTCTGCCAGTGAACATACTATGTGTTCGGAATTCCAGTGTAGACCCAGGCCTTTCTCAGGCTGAACTTTTAAGCACAAAAATCATGTCTTGGGTTGGCTTCAGTTAATGAAAACTATTAGCCAAAAGAACTACAGAAGCCAGAAAGCAAGGTTAGTACATTTAGAGACTTTCCCAGAACTATACACTTTAGTGGGTTAGGTCTTTGTTTTAGTTTTGGCAGGTGGTGTTGTCCATGTACTGAGTTTTACAGTCATACTTCTATCATCGAGTCATCTGTGCTAAAGTCTAGGACACTGCTACATATAGAATCAATCAAATGAAATAAGGACACATTGACTTAATCCTTTCCTATTTATAGCCTTTTTACTTCATTTCGTCTTACTGCTCTAGTTAAGTCTTCAAACACTATATTGAATAGCAGAAATTCTTAATTCTTGTCTTGGTGGAAATGTTGCTAAGTTTTGCATCATTTAGCATTTTGTTGACCATAGGTTTGTCATATTTTACCTTTATTATATTGAGACATGTTCCTTCTATTCCTACTTTCTTCTACATTTTTAATTGATATTTATTGAGCTCTACATTTTTCTCTGCTCCCCTCCCTTCCCCCCCTTCAATCCTCCCCCAAGGTCCCCATGCTCCCAATTTATTCAGGAGATCTTGTCTTTTTCTACTTTCTACTTTCCTTGTAAATTAGATCTATGTATGTCTCTCTTAGTGTCCTCATTGTTGTCTAAGTTCTCTGGGATTGTGGTTTGTGGGCTGGCTTTCTTTGCTTTATGTTTAAAACTTACCTATGAGTGAGTACATATGATAATTTTCTTTCTGTGTCTGGGTTACCTCAAAATAATGTTTTCTAGCTCCATCCATTTTCCTGCAAAAGTCAAGCTGTTGTTATTTTTTTCTGCTGTGTAGTACTCTGTTGTATAAATGTACCACATTTTCTTTATCCATTCTTTGGTCGAGGGGCATTTAGGTTGTTTCCAGGTTCTGGCTATGACAAACAATGGTGCTATGAACATAGTTGAGCTCATGTCCTTGTGGCACAATTGAGCATCCTTTGGATATATACCCAAAAGTGGTATTACTGGATCTTGAGGAAAGTTGTTTCCTAATTTTCTGAGAAATCGCCACGCTAACATCCAAAGGGGCCGTACTAGCTTGCATTCTCACCAGCAATGCAGAAGTGTTTCCTTTACCCCACAACCTCTCCAGCATAAGATGTCATCAGTGTTTTTGATCTTGGCCATTCTTACAGGTGAAAGATGGAATCTCAGAGTTGTTTTGATTTGCATTTCTCTGATGACTAACGATGTTGAATATTTCCTTAAAGTGTCTTTCAGCCATTTTAGATTCCTTTGTTGAGAGTTCTCTGTTTAGGTCTGTACTCCATTTATTTTTATTTTTATTTTTGGATTATGTGAACTTTTGGTTCAATTTCTTGAGTTCTTTGTATATTTTGGAGATCAGACCTCTGTCTGATGTGGGGTTAGTGAAGATCTTTTCCCATTCTGTAGGCTGTCGTTTTGTCTTGTTGACCGTGTCCTTTGCTTTACAGAAGCTTTTCAGTTTCAGGAGGTCCCATTTATTAATTGTTTCTCTCAGTGTCTGTGCTGCTGGGGTTATATTTAGGAAGTGGTTTTCTGTGCCAATGCATTCAAGGTGTACTTTCCACTTTTTCTTCTATAAGGCTCAGTGTGATTGGCTGCATGTTGAGGTCTTGATCCATTTGGACTTGAGTTTCGTGCATGGTGATAGATATGGGTCTATTTTCATTTTTCTACCTGTTGATATGCAGTTATGCCAGCACCACTTGTTAAATATGTTTTCTTTTTTCCATTTGATATTTTTTGCTTCTTTGTCAAAGATCAGGTGTTTGAAGATGTGTGGATTAATATCTGGGTCTTCTATTCGGTTCCATTGGTCCTCCTGTCTGTTCTTATGCCAATACTAGGCTGTTTTCAGTACTGTAGCTCTGTAGTAGAGTTTGAAGTCAGGGATTGTGATGCCTCCAGAAGTTCTTTTATTGTACAGGATTGTTTTGGCTATCAATTTTTTTGCTTTCCCAAATGAGGCTGAATACCATTCTTCAAGGTCTGTGAAGAATTTTGCTGGGATTTTCATGGGCATTGCATTGAATCTGTCTTCTACATTTTTTTTATTATTGTTTTTTTTTATTGAGAAAAGGAGAAAAAAAAAACAAGTTTCCACCTCCTCCCAGCCTCCCATTTCCTTCTCCCTCCTCCCACCCTTCTCCCCCTCCCCCCACTCCTTTCCCCCTCCCTTTCCAGTCCAAAGAGCAGTCAGGGTTCCCTGCCCTGTGGTAAGTCCTAGGTCCTCCCCCCTCCGTCCATATCTAGGAAGGTGAACATCCAAACTGGCTAGGCTCCCACAAAGCCAGCACATTGCGTAGGATCAAAACCCCGTGCCATTGTCCTTGGCGTCTCATCAGCCCTCATTGTTTGCCATGTTCAGAGAGTCCAGTTTTATCCCATGCTTTTTCAGTCACAGTCCAGCTGGCCTTGGTGAGCTCCTAGTAGATCAGCTCCACTGTCTTAGTGGGTGGGTGCACCCCTCGTGGTCCCGACTTCTTTTCTCATGTTCTCCCTCCTCCTGCTCCTCATTGGGACCTTGGGAGCTCAGTCTAGTGCTCCAGTGTGGGTCTCTGTCTCTGTCTCCATCCA